GTTAGTAGAGACAAAGAGAGATTCCAAATGGTCTCATTGTATGAACCCTATTTTAAAATTAATATTCCTAAATTTATGTTAAAGATTACAATGTTATAAAAATAAAAAATATAATTAGATCAGTTATTCCTAGGTTGTATTAAAATATACTTGTTGTATTAAGAAATGCCTTTTATTTTTTTGACAAGAAATACTTATTGTATTACCTTGCTTTGTTTTACAAGAAAAAAAAGGAAGATGTTGTATTTCCCCTTTTTTGTGCTTGTTGTATTACTTTTTATTTTTTTACAAGAAAATAAGAAAATGATGCTGCCAAAGTACCTTTTATTTTATTTTTTTGTCAAGAAATACTTGTTTTATTACTTTTTTTTTACAAGAAAAAAAAGAGGATGTTGTATTACCTTTTTAAGTAAACCATATTTTTTTCATTTTATTTTTTTGATGATATTATTTTTTTCTTTTTGTTTTTTTTTTAAGACAATAATTTTTTGGAAGACAAAAAATAAAAATGCAAGAGAACACCCCAAAGGTTCGACCTTGGGATATTCTAAAAAAAACAATAAATGATAACCACGGCACCCCATTGTAGGTTGTTGAATAACTTTGTATAATAATATTTATAATGAATAACATTTCAACGTTATATCACTCGGCTCAAATCCCACATCGAAGAATTAGACAAACTTTGATAGCTATAAATACCTTTTCAATACCCCTACCGTCAACATGATCAAGAAAAGGGGCTAAAGTACACCCGACGAGATGTCATAGTCCGCTTAGAATCGTGACTAAATTACCAAAATATCCTCATCCAGTGACTCACCGACCTATGATGTCATAGTCCTCTTAGAATTGCGATTTATGACCTTGTGATGTCATAGTCCACTTAGAATCATGATTTATTACGATTTATGACCTTGTGATGTCATAGTCCACTTAGAATCGTGATTTATGATGTCATATTATGACCTTGTGATGTCATAGTCCACTTAGAATCGTGATTGATGATGTCATATGAAAGATTTGCGGTTCAAAATCGGCGATTCTCCTCTAGAACCGGGTGATTTTCGATATTACACCGAGCGATTTCTGGTATTACACCGGGGACAATTCTCCTCGAGCGATTTCTGGTATCACGCCTCGGGCGATTTCTGGTATTACACCGAGGACAATTCTCCTCGGTTCAAAATCGGCGATTCTCCTCTAGAATCAAGGGTAGGGCCCTCTCCCCCACTAACTCACCTAAAAAAAAAAAAGAATTATTGAGTCGGATCTTACACCAAGCAATTTTTGGTATTACACCAGGGACAATTCTCCTCGGTTCAAAATCGGCGATTCTCCTCTAGAACCAAGGGTAGGGCCTTCTCCCCCACTAACTCACCCAAAAAAAAAAAAACGAATTATTGAGTCGGATCAAGAATCGATCCTGGATGAATCGGTCCAGTTCGGGTTGACATGTTCGGTTCCCGTAGGGACCTAGGTGAATTGGTCGAATCATCAATTCAGAATGGCAATTCACATATTAAAACTGGCTACTCAGGTGACTAGTTCGCTTGGCAGATATGAGTTTTAATAAATGTATTCAAATCAGTGTTTGAAAAGTCACCAAGTCGAACCGGTAAAAAATGTATTCAAATCAGTATTTGAAAAGTTACCGAGTCGAACCGGACTTGCCTGGGGGGGTGCCGATTCCATCACAATATGCAAAATCGCCCGTGTCTAGAGAGAACGGAACCGGGCGGTTCGTAGCGATAAGAGTCACTACAATGACACGGGCGATTCCAAAGGTTAGGGGTAAGGTCTGAACCCGAGGGGAAAAGTAAAGTCAGAATTTCAAAGGCGATTTCAAAGGTTAGGGGTAATGTTTGAACCCTAGTCACTTAGGGGTAAAGTAAAGTCTGAATTTAAAAGGCGATTTCAAAGGTTAGGGATAATGTCTGAACACGAGTCACTTAGGGGTAAAGTAAAGTCTAAAGCGGGGGTAAAGTAAAGTCTGAATGGGTAAAGTAAAGTCTAAATTTCAAACGCGATTTTAAAGGTTAGGGGTAATGTATGAACCCGAGTCACTTAGGGGTAAAGTAAAGCAACCCGAGTCACTTAGGGGTAAAGTAAAGCCTGAACCGGGTAAAGTAAAATCTAAATCGGGGGTAACGTAAAGTCTGAATGGATAAAGTAAAGTCTGAATTTCAAAGGCGATTTCAAAGATTAGGGGTACTGTCTAAACCCGAGTCCCTCACTTAGGGGTAAAGTAAAGCAACCCGAGTCACTTAGGGGCAAAGTAAAGCCTGAACCGGGCAGTTCGTAGCGATACCCCTACTTAGGGGTAAAGTAAAGCAACCCGAGTCACTTAGGGGTAAAGTAAAGCTTGAACCGGGCAGTTCGTAGCGATAACTAGGGGTAAAGTTTGAAATTTTTTAAAACTTCAAAGGTTAGGGTATTGTCTAAATTTTTTTTAAAATTCAAAGGCATATTTGTTGCCACACTTCAGGCGCACATGGGTCTCAATCCTGCTAAGCAACCAACGATTGTTAATGGCCTGCCGAATGCATTTGTACAATGCAGACTTAGATTAAATCTTCGATGTGGGATAATTTCCACATGCGTGCAAAATGATTATAATGTTTATATGGCAATTAAAAGCACATTATTATTACATGTTGTAGTTGGTTATGACTCTCAAAATTTTCTTCGACGTCTCATCATTGAGCCCCTTGGCCATCCAACTCCTTTTCTTGTCCTCTGCAAGGAAGAAAATAAAGTAAAAGGAAAAAAATAAAAAATAAAAGGTTTTTCAAAAAAAAAAAATCATTTTTGTCCTCTAAGAAAAAGACAATAAAGTAAAATAAAAAATAAAAGGTTTTTCAAAAAAAAAATGTGTAAAAGAAAGAAAAGGTTTCTCAAAAAAACAATGTAATACAATATTTTTTTATTTTCTTGTCAAAAAAACAAAAGGCAATTTAACAAGTATTAAAAGGTAATATAACAAATATTTCTTGTCAAAAAATAAAATAAAAAGTATAAAAAATTAAAAGGTACCTTGGTAGCATCATTTTCTTATGTTTGTTATAAAAAAAAAATGAAACGTAATACAACAATCAAAAAAATGTAGCACAACATCTTCTTATTTTTTTGGATTTGTTATTATTTGTATAATAAAATAATTATAAAATATAAACTAACAATTTCAATTGCAGTATATAATATTATAGTTAATTAGGTTGTAATAATTTGGGGTTTTTTTAACGGATTAGAGTTTTCTGCCAATTCGATATTTTAGTGGCCATTGTTTCATCGATTTAATTCACTCTTTATTGTAGTCCATATAGAATTATATACTTTGTCTATGATTTTTCTTTTGTATGATGCAAATTTAATAGTTAACATAAGTTCATATAAGGAAATAACATCTCAATATTCTCAAATTGATGAAAAAACTGAAAGTTATAATGCAATACCCCCATTTTTTACTGGATTCCTAAAAAACAACATCTATAATGAAATTTAATAATTTTTTTGGATTTTTTTTTTTAAATCTTAATCCGACTGATTCGGTCGATTCTCGATCTGGATCACCAATTCACCGATCCCAATGGATTTTTGGAGTGCCTAATCTAGGGCACCGATCCATTTTTTAAACCACTGTTTTAAACAATTGCCAAAAGCCAGTAGTCGGATGGTGATAAGCCTATGAACATAGTGTTTCCATGACCAAACTATAACACGATAGCCCTTGTTGATATACAAAAAGCACAATTTTATTTTGGTGAAAAAGAAAATTTAGGAAAAACTACTCAAAAGTCTATTTAACATCTCATTTAATTTAAATTAATTTAAAAAATCATATCAAGTGAGACATAATCATGAGATAATATAGTTGATGTTTTGGGTGTGGTTTGTTTAATTTCTCAATAAAAAAAAAATAGTGATTGTTTACAAAGAGACCATTTATCTTTTATACATGTAGGCCACAATCATTCCCATTGAATGGCTTGAAGTGAGTCATAAAGTCCAAGAATTTCTTTCTTGGAACTTTGTGTCTATGCAATGACACTCTTATAACTACACATTTTGAAGTTAAAGGGACAATAATGATTGTGACCTCCACGTACAAAAGATAAATAATCGCTTTATGGACCATCCAAAAAAATAACCTCCCAAAAATGCAAACGAAACTATGATAGATTTTCTCTTAGAAAACTCTTTCCTATGAGACCCAATATTTTTTGAATTATTAGCCATCTCATTGGTTCTTTTAATCTAATTTCAAATAGTCCACCATTCTTTTGAAATTTCAAATGACATGCTACGAAAGGTCACATATTTGGGAATTTGTTAGACGGTTGAAATGTTATAAAGTTGATCGCTTCAGTTGATTTAATGAATTTGCCATTCACTAAAGGGTATCGAAAAGAAAAATATACAAAAAGACGATTTACGTTAGGTACAAAGAGGTCACAACTACATTATACAAGGAGAAAAAATAACCATACCTTTTTTTTGGTTGAGTAGACAAAAATAACCTTCACGATAGTCTTAGAACTGTCAAGGCATCACGGTCTATCGAAAACCATGATCGTGACCGTGATGGTCATGGCGGATTGTAAATCAAATATAATTTTGAAGCATTACAACACTTAACGAATTGTGATGGTTTATTGGACTATCACAATTCTAATTTAACTATCCCAAGGCATAAGAATCCGTAAAGACCATCATGACTATTTAAGTGCCGTGATGCCTCTTAATGACCATCACAGTTGTTTAAATGCCGTAATACCTTAAAACACTAAACTGTCCATGACCATCACAGTAGTGACTCTTTACGTGCCGTGATGCCTCTTAACGACCATCACAACTGTTTAAGTGCCATGATGCCTTCACGGTCTTAAGACTACCATGAATTTATTTTGGTAAAAAAAAACGCAAAAAATAAGAAAAAAAATATGGACAAGGTTTTGAAAAGTTTGCAGTTTATATCTAATAATCCAAAAATTAAGGTATTTTTTTTAAAATTTCTTGTTTTTTAATGACATTGTTTGTATTACTATTGATTAAAAGTACAGAGTCCATGTACAAACAAAGCTTCTGCTCTGTACAAAAATACCGGGCCAGCCATCTTTGTGAGAGAGATTCAATGAGCTAACTCTGAGGCTGTAGCAAAAACAAGAAAATCCCTCCGGCTACAGAGACATTGAGGGACTCAAAATTGCCTGACATTGGGATGCTTATGAGCTCACATTCCTCTTTGGACTGCTTAGACAAACCAGCACCTTCACTCCCCAACACCAAACCAATAGGAGTTTCTGCCAAAGAAGATGATAGCTCACGAGAGAGAAAACTTGACATTTCCCTGTCAGAATTCCCAGGATGGCCAGCGACCATTTTCATTCCAAATTTTCTTCGAAATGCATCCAAATGGACCCATCGACCAGAAACAATGGGTAGGCGAAAGCATGAACCTCGAGATGCGCGTACAGCTTTATAGTTGAAAGGATCACAGCATCCAGGAAGTAGAAATACTCCATGCTGTGAGCAATACTTCTGTTAATATAGCCGCAATGTGCGCATGCACATGTGTGTGTTTGTGTGTGTGAGAGAGAGAGAGAAGAGAGAGAGAGAGAGAGAGAGAGAGAGGAGGTACTAATTACA